ACATGAATACATTAAACACTGCACGAGAACACGAAACTATGCGAACAATATACTTAAGAACAATGGAAAGGAAAAGCGCCCTTTGGACGTAACATACCCCCGCCAAATACAGATTAAGGTCCTAATCGTATTCCAAATCACTATGATAATATAAGTTCAAAACGCGCAATAAATCTTATAAATTAAAGTAACCAATCAAATAACCATTTCAAATTATTGCTCAGTAGCATGATAACAGTAAATGTTCAGGTCTTCAAGTGTTCAAATGCTCAAATGTCTTCTAATAAACACAGCTTGTTTATTGGTCTTGTTAATACTGTGCTCTTGGTCTTGATTTTTACTTGCCGCACACAGCCATCCTTGCTTCTGTAAACTTCCGTAACTCTAGCCAAAGGCCATGCGCACCTTGGAGCTGAATCATCCACGAGTAGAACCAAATCACCAGCCTGTAGATTCCTTTGTAGTCTTTGCCACTTGCTTCTTGTCTGCAATAATGGAAGGTACTCTCTGGTCCATCGACGCCAGAATATATCTGCCATATACTGAACTTGTCTCCATCTTCTGACACTGTAAGCATCTTCCTTGCGAAAGAGCCCAGGAGGAAGTTCCGGTCCACTTCTAAGCAAAATGAGATGATTCGGCGTAAGGGCTTGCAAGTCTTTCGGATCATCAGAAACCTTTGTAAGCGGTCTTCCATTCACGATACTTTCAATCTCACACATAAGAGTGTAAAGCCTTCATCATCTAGAACTTGTTCTTTGACCAAAGCTGACATTACCTTTCTCACGGTTCTAATATTTCTTTCCCAAACTCCTCCCATGTGCGAAGCGAAAGGTGGGTTGTAGATCCAACGGATATTTTTCTGTAAGAAAAACTCATGAATTTGTCTTTGATTCCATTGCTCTACGGCTTGTCTGATCTCCTTTTCTCCTCCCTTGAAATTAGTTCCATTGTCGGACCGCATGATCTCTGTCTTTCCCCTTCTGGAGACGAAGCGTCTCATAGCATTTATAAATGAGCTGGTGTCCAAACTGAAAGCAACTTCTAGATGAATAGCTCGGACAGTGAGGCAGGTAAAGATTACGCCATAACTTTTAACTGTAGCTCTTCCACGCTTCACAGAGAAGGGTCCAAAGCAATCAACACCAGTGTGGGCAAACGGTGGTTTATCTGGAGTCACCCTATCAAACGGTAGATTAGCCATCTGTTGAGCAGCTGGTTGACATCGTCGTTTGCAGGCAAAACAACTTCTCAGAATCTTACGCACTGTGACTCTACTCTTGATTATCCAATAATGTTCTCTGAGCAGTGATAAAACGTACTCTTGTCCAGAGTGGCCAGATTCTAGGTGATAGTATCTGATGAGGTCAATTACTGGATGCTTCTTCGGTAATATGATTGGATGTTTAGCAGTAAATGCGATATCTGCATTCTTCAAGCGACCACCTACACGAGGTAAACCATCAACTTTAACGGGATCTAGTTTGTACAATGGACTTGGTCTTTTGATGCTTGATTTATAACGAGGTGTTATCCCATCAGGAGCATTATCCAGTTCTTCACCAAAGCGCTGTCTCTGTACGTATTTCAGAATTTCTTGTTCTGAAGCTTGCATCTCTTCCATGGTTATCCTTCCTGTCTCAATTCGTGACTTGATTTTTTGGTTCTGTCTTCTTCTTACCCTTGAAAGAAGCCATCCTTTGTATCTTAGTACCCAGGCTATTGCAAGACTCTGTCCATCGTCTCTTTGGAATCTGAAACGTCTGTAGCACAATGACAAATCTGAGTCTTGATTTCTGGATCATCTTTAGGAATTTGACGCGCATGGATTTGCACAGGCCAACTTTGTTCAGGCATCAATAGGAATTCTGGACCATGAATCCAACTTGAATTGCGAAGCAACTGATCAGCTGTAGCTCCTCTTGAACCAATGTCTGCAGGATTACTCTTGCTATCCACGTACATCCATTGGTGGGGACTCGATCCATCATGAATAATGCTAAGTCGATTTGCAACAAAGGTATGATAACGCTTGTTTTGGTTCTGTATATAGCCAAGCACTGATATACTGTGAGTCCAGAATACAGTTTGATTAACCACCAATTCTAGGTCTTTCTTGATCAATTGATCCAGACGGACAGCAACTGTGGCAGCAGATAGCTCCAAACGAGGTATCGTCATGGTTTTAAGTGGGGCGACACGAGACTTACCAAGAGCAAAGGCAAGATTGACATTTCCTCTGTCGTCCACTAATTTCAGGAAGGAAACAGCACCATATCCAATCTCTGAGGCATCAGCAAAATGATGTAGCTGAATTTCAAGAACATCTCCAAAGTCTTTAGGCTTGAAACAACGATCGACACATAATTCTTGCAGTTTAGGCAAATCTCTAAGCCATTCATTCCATCTAGCAACGTGGCTGTCTGGGATAGCGTCGTCCCATCCTAAATGAGAAAGCTCTCTAAGGATTAACTTGGCAGACAAAACGAAAGGGCAAACGAAACCCAGTGGATCAAATACTGAAGACAAAGTACTCAAAAGTCCTCTTCTAGTCAGCAGCTTGTTCTTTAATTTAATCAAGGAAATGAACTTGTCAGCTTCAACGTTCCATCTGATACCCAGTGCTCTCTCAATAGGCAAAACGTCATTGTCAAGATCCAATTCTTTGACCTCTTTAGCTCTTTCTTGAATTGGAAAGGAGTTGATCACTTTTCTACTGTTACTGCTCCATTTAGTTAAATGAAAACCTCCTTGAGATAATAAATCAGACAAATCTTTGGCCAGCTGAATTGCATCTTTCTCTGTACTGACACTCTTCAGGCAATCATCTACATAGAAATTTTTCTTGACTGTTTCAGTGACTCGTTTTGAGTCACACTTGTGAGTGTTATCATCAGCGGTTCGATGCAGAGCGTAGTTGGCACAGCTCGAGCTCCAAATTCCTCCAAAAAGATGAACGAGCATCTGGTACTCCTTAGGCTCCTTATTTAGATCATCGTCTGGATACCAGAGAAAGCGTAAAGCATCAACGTCATCAGGATTTACCTTCACTTGGTGGTACATGGACTCGATGTCTGACATTAAAGTGCCTATAACCTTTATAGGATTATGATCAATTTTGATTTTCTGTGTGTTGGAGATGAATAAACAAAAAAATTTTTTCGATTGACTAAATACTCTCGGAGATATAGCGCCCTAAAGTACGCATTTTTGCCACGTCCCATCTATTTGGACGGGATAAAGGGAAACTGGGACCGAGCAGAGTCTCGCTGAGTGGTGACGTCACAACAAGAACGAATGTTTTGATAAGCAAAGATTCTTACTAGTTCTTCGGTCAGAATATGAGAAAATGCCGACTAGATGTGTTGTTGCTCGGTGCTCAAACACCCCAGATCTTACGAAAGGTATATACTTGCATAAGATCCCATTTCATAACGACAATCGTCCAGAAGCAAAGATGGATTGATTTTGTGAAGAGAAAGCAAGCAAATTTCAACCCCTCGGCTACCTCCGTCATATTTTCTACACACTTCCTACCAGAGGATTATAATCAGAGATTTTCTTCTTCATAAGGTCATCCATGAACATAGAATATTTTTTGTGAAGCAGTCGATCCTTCAGCAGTCTTTTCTTCAGTAGACGCAGGCGATGCTCAGCCAATGGCTTGTTATTAGGCAGATCTGGTGATGCACTTATCCAAGGTATGGCAATCTTGTAGTGGCCATCCTCTAAATGTGCAGAATTATCATAACAGCTCATCACACGTTTGTCATTTTGTGACATCGACAGTTCGCTACTTGCAATAGAGTCAACAAATTCTAAATTCATAAACTGGTTGAATTGTCGGGTTAGTTAATTGCCACGTCTTCCAAGAGGACCATCGATCGTCCAGCCTAGGCTTGATCTCGTAGCGTATGGACCCTTACTCTCACTTCTTTTGATCTCAATTGGTTTCAAAGCTTCAGGTACATCTTGTCCAATCAAGAGTTCGATCCTTCCTTCGATGCTTGGAAGTACATGAAGCCAAGATACTTCTAATGACGTTTTTCTTCCTCGTCAAGGCTGCTTTAAAGGCTCGTCGATTTTCCTTTAAACATTGAGCATCCATATTCAAGTTGAGCGATCCAGAAATGTATTTGAACTATTGTAGGAAACGAGAACTCAATACATGAAGGCGTTTAATAATTATACTTGAACGTAGTGTAATATTCACAAAGGCCACCAGTTCCTGACAAATAAGTAAATACAAACTACTAGATACGACGAACCAAAAGTATAAGCAGATAACGATCGAAAACAAAACAAAAAAATACTTACAAATACATTCGTCCTACGCCATGAAAAAAAAAACAACACACTAACGAGAGAACCAAGAAAACGTTCTCTAAACCAAGTAGGTCCTCGCTCCTACCGATACTAGTTGCAACTGAACACAAATCTAACCAAGCGCAAGTACTTAACTATACATGAATACATTAAACACTGCACGAGAACACGAAACTATGCGAACAATATACTTAAGAACAATGGAAAGGAAAAGCGCCCTTTGGACGTAACACCCTATATTTATCTTTACTTGAATTGTAAACATATCTCATCGAAGAGTAAAGATTTCCTGTTCTAAATATTGGTTTCCTACTCATTTTTTGTACAAATCTGGTACCTGGTTTGTACTGTATGATTCTCTTTTTCGTTGCAATATTTTTAATAAGACAATGAACTTTCGATGACTTAGGCGTGTCTTTACTTAAATTGCTGCATACATAACTCCTTAGTTTTCTGTTTTTCTGAAAGACACGTTTTAATCTGTTAACTGGTATCCTGCTTGGTTCATGATCGCGTCTAGAGCCATGACTATCACATCACAATTATGAAATACATACTTTGCATAACGAGTTCTGAATTCTTGTACCTTTATTGCCAGTGAAACATCATTATGTTCATGTACATTTGTAGAATGGATAACTTGTTCTAGTATGTAACAGACACCAAGAGTATTTACCACGTCTTCTACTAAGCTTGTACAATCGCTTGTACGATATAAACACAACTGGTTATTGGTGCAAAATCAAATCGTATTTTACGACTATTGAATACAGCAAAAACAAGCAAAGGAATCAGGATATTTAACAAGAAAGTTAAACTTAGATATTTATTTTTCAAGTTGCTCCGCTTACTATATTCTTTATCGAATATGGCGATTAGCCTGTTGTTGTTTGCTTCACCTTCGAGGTTCTGCTCAAGAAGATTTTCGGTTATTTTAACATCTGTGCTCGAATATAGCTCATTCGTTATCTCGTGAGAACTAGTGTGAATTTGGCTAGTAAGCTTACATGTTTTCAAAGATTTCAACGCTTTCAAGTTATAAAATTCGTGGGCCGACCTGTTCCCAAAAAGCTCTACATCTTTTAGTGTGGGCCTACCACGAATGGCGAGTGCGTTTGTATGTGGGATGATCACATAAGGCAGAGCACTTTCCAAAGATTTCTTCACGCAACAAGTTTATAATCCTACGAACCGAAGCAGAAGGAACGAAGAAAGCAGGGTTTAGATTAGCATTGATTAGCATTCGGTTATAAATCTCATCCCCAGTTCCCAGCCACTCAGCTAGGAACGCCTGGGACCATGAACCCGTTTTTTGGCGACAAAATACGACGAAAAAGCATTTTTAGACTTAGATTTTTAGTTCCTGCGGAAGCCCGAGCAAATAGGCCAGGTGATATTTTTTCAGTAAATCATAATTGGAGTGTACAATGATGTTCCCCTATTGACGTTGTGATTATGCAGTAGAGCTGTCCATTTTATCGGCATTGGCACAACATATGCCGTAACATTAAAGAGTATCGATGAAAGAGATTTCACTTAATTCTTAGTTTTTCATACTTTGGAACTAATTGGTGAGTGATAAACACCACATGCATTGTGATAATACTAAAGTGTCAAGTTCAAAAATAGGGGCTCTATACACTAAAGCGGTATTATGAGTGCAAAATTAGTGCTAAAACACGATCTCACAAGTTATTTGATGCAGTTATTCCTCGTTCCCCTTCGAATTGTTTTCAAGGGATGACTTCAGCCAGGCAACCTGCCCAATTGCTAAGCCCATAGTTGCATATTGAGTGTCTGATAGGTTTTTTAGTGCTTGAAGACTGTAAACCTTTAAATGGAGCAATAAACTGTTATAAGAGTATATTCATTACTACAGCGGCAGATCACAGGTTTTCCATCCTCTGTTTTTGAATACTGGGCTTCCTGTGTTGCGAACTAAAGGAATCTCAGTAAATCTCAGTAGAGTTTGAAAATCGCCACTGAGAATATCTCTTAACTTCAAATCTTAAAAGCAAATGTTCCAAAATAAAAGATAGATAGTTGTTGAAGCTTTTTGAGTTGTTTTTGAGACGATTTTGGGTGTTTTAGGGGATTTTTGAGAGCTCCCGTTTTGAATGATATTTGCCGTTGAATTACTTAGCATCATACAGTAACCAAGAAATAAATTTTGAAAGTTTAGTATTAGACTAAAGGTTTCTCTAGATTTATCAGTTTGACTCGTTTATTAATACGCTTACGGAAAACAGAGATCGATTGCGCGTTAATTCATACTGTAAACTTTTAAAAAGTTGTACGTGATAATTGTGAATACTTACTTCATCCTCCATCGTATTACGACGTACTACCACGCTATAACTAAAGCAAGATGTAAATATAACCACACAACTCTCAACCGCTCTATGGAAGCTCTATGGAACACAAAGACGAGTCAGCAAGTGGATCACGTGCGTCTAATCGGAAATCGGAAAATCGGGAAATCGGGTAGTCGGGAAGTCGGGAAGTCGGGAAGTCGGAAGGCCCTCCTCGGCCATCATATAAAAAAACTTTCGAATTTCATCACAATTTTCTCAAAATGTAAACAAATAAGAAAGTGTAAATTCACAAGTGCTTCCAGTGATTATAAAGAGCAAATAACGTTTGTTTCCTAGTACTTTGCTGCAATTTTCGAATCTCCGTGTCGAGTTCCAGAGGTAGGTAGGTAGATAAAGTAGGTAGGTAAAACTTTATTTAAACACGCTTGCCCCGTCAACTAAAGCTGATTTCCACAAGGGGCGTGTGGATAAATATTACAATGAAAAGGTAATACTATCTTATATTCTAATCAATAATTATAAAAATTAGTAATAAAAATAAAATAAATATAACTGTTAATAAAGCTACAATAATACATAGTAGATTAAGTAAAAATTTATAGATACTAAGAGACAGATAGAGTGTGAGTGGCAATTTCAGATTTGAATTTGGCCAGTGATTTGCAATTTCTTAAATTTTCTGGTAGGGAGTTCCAGACTTTTGCCCCATCATAAGAAAAACTTCTTTTACCAAACTCTGTTTTAGGGAGAGGTAACTGCAATGAGGTACTAGAGCCCCTTAAGTCGTAATTTGTAACGCCTTTGTTTTTGTAAAGAGATCTACAAGACAGTTAGGGGCCATTCCGTTAAGTATTTTGTACATGTGCTTGGCCTTTGTTTTCTCTCTTTGGTTTTTGAGAGGTTCCCAGCCCAGAGCTTTCAAATCTTCCTGGTGGGGAGTTTCATTACTCATATAAGAAATTACTCTTGCAGATCTGTTTTGTAATTTCTGAAGACGTTTAGCGTGACCTTCACCAAGGCTGTCCCATACCTCACTACAGTAGTTAAAGTGCGGCTGTACTATAGCATTATGTATGCCAATCAGAGTTTCCCTGGTCACGAAGTCTCTAATTTTTCTAATGGCTCCTATACGCGACGTAACTTTTTTAGCTATGCTATCAACATGCCCATCCCAAGACAAAAACTGGTCAATCTCCAAACCAAGAACCTTACTTTGGGTAACTTGTTTTATGGAATCTTGACCGATCTCTACATTAGGCTGAGCAGTGATAGTACGCAAGTTATAGTGAGACCCAATTAGCAGAAATTCGGTTTTCGCTACATTAAGGCTCAATTTGTTAGCTAACAACCAGTTCTTAACGCACTCAAGGTCACAATTCATGGCACTCTCAACTACCTCTATTGATCTACCAGTTGCTGTCAGATTAGTATCATCAGCAAACATACGWGGTATTGTTTGCCTTAGACACTCTGGTAAATCATTTATGTACAAGAGGAAGAAAAGGGGGCCAAGAATGGAACTCTGAGGAATTCCGCAGCCGATCCGGCTCTCTGAAGACAACACTCATTTACCTGGCATACCTGTTTACGACCCGCTAGATATGATTTTAAAAGATTTAAGGCATTCCCGGTTATACCATATATTTCCATTTTACACAATAAAATTTCATGGTTAACCGTATCGAATGCCTTTTTCAGGTCGAGAAATACAACCAAATTAAACATTTTACGGTCCATATTAATATGGCAGCTATTTGTACTTTCCAGTAGGGCGGAAGCAGTAGAGTGTAGTTTCTGATAGACAAACTGACGTTCGGAAAGAATGTTGTTCTCTGAGAGGTATTCATAAAGCTGTTCATATATGATTTGCTCTATTATTTTACTTATAACTGGTAAAATAGAAATTGGTCTGTAATTTCCAGGAAGATTGCGAGGACTGCTTTTATAAAGGGCATAACCCTTGCTATTTTCCAGTCATCCGGGAAACAGCAAGAGCTGATAACATGATTAATAATATATGTAAGGGATGGAGAAATAGCTGATGCTGCAACTTTTAATATTTTGCTAGAAATCTTATCAGTGCCAGTGGCTTTAGCCATCGATAGACCATGTAAAAGTTTAAGAACTTTGACATTGGAAACAGTTCCAAATTCTTCTTCCGGACTTAAATTGGTCAGAGCGTCGTGTGCCTTGTTGAGTTCTTCTTTAACTGAATCCAAAATTCCTCTTTCTGCTTCGAGAGAGTGCTGATCTAATCCTTCGTGGAGAAACGAGTATATTCTTTTTACTTGTTTTGTCAATTTCGAATGGGCCGCATTCCGGGTTTTGGTTGCGATTTCTAACTTGTATTCGAAACCCTTTTCAGTTAGTTTCCGGTCACGTTTAACTTGGGAATCTGTATCCTGCCCGGCGAGTGGCGTGACGGATGTTTCATCCTCACGTGTTTGTTGATCGGCGTCTACACGTGCGATCGGAGTTTCGCGGATCAGTTTACTAATAAGTTCCTTAGTACTTTCGGAATTTTCGAGTTTTTGCTCTGGATAATCGTCGCTCATCGTTTAAAACGGCCCAAATATCGAGTTTTAGCGTCTCTCATAGGTAGTCTTGGAGTTATGTTACTGTAGCGGCTGGCCGCTGAGTTCGTTGGGTTCCATACACGGGGTTAGATTACTGCTAGTGCAAACAATCGATAGATATTTATACGACGAGGATTTATTGCTTATACTTGGCGCAAACTGGAACACAATTAGTTACAATCACGAGTTACTATCAAAAACTAAATAACATGATTTCACAATAATTAAATCCAATTCCGATGTGCTATTCTGTTTCTAAGATTAATTTATAAAGGAATCAGGTATACTCACATAACTGCCCCGTACTACTGCCGAGAGGCGTTCGATTAAGGTATGATTTGAGATGTTGATTTGGTCGACGATATTGTAGGTTGTTTTGTAATTTGAAATATGATTCGAGGTTTTTAAATAATCACTAATGGATCATATGGGATCCCTGTGCTAATTCGAATGATCCAATAGAGACTGACACTGATGACTACTTAGAGAGTGCTTTTCGTGTGGAGTGTGAAAGGCACATTCCAAACACAGAAGATATTGAGCCTTCTCAAGCATATAATGCTTACATCTATCTGAAATCTCACTTTGATGTAAACAGAGTATGACCAAGTCAATGAGTCTGAAGTGTTACAACTATGTATCTTATAAAATCAAAAAGCAGTCTGTAACCACCAAAGTATTTTTGTATGTATGTATATATTGGTGGACATCATTGCTGTTGCTCTCAAGCATAAGGCATTCTTTTGTTGGTGGATTGTTTTTTTGTTTTGAGAAAGAGAGAAAAATTGATAATCCAGTATCCAACAGTCACTTTGCAACTGATTTGCAAAGCGATGGCAACTTTAAAAGATTGCAAAATTTGTTGCAGTTATGCCCATTAAAAAAGGTGTTGATGGCTTCTTGTGATAGGTTTCCTGAGCAAAAATAAATTGAGCTGCCCTTATCTTGAAGGACTGAACTGGCTATTTCGGGATCACAGAGAGTGTAACCAACACCTTGAATGTCAGTGACCATCAAATGGAAATCAGACCTAACGTAGGTATAGTGGACGAAGGCTTCTGCTTTAAGTGTTATGTCCTCATCGTCCTTAAGACAAATTTCTCCAGTGTTGTTTATGTACTTTTGGAAATTTCCATCAATAAAGTCCTCCACTGTAACAAATTCATCATCCAGTGAAGTGAAATAGACCTTCACATACTTAAAGGTTTCTCCATATTCAAGAGTAGGCCTTTCCAAATCTAAGTTTTGCGCGAAATTGCGTGCTAAAGAATTCATTTGGACGATTTTTCTGGTATGATTTTCAAGTGTTCCAAAAAGTTGGATTCCTGAACATAGGATCGGAACATTTTAAAATTTGACAACTGGCAAAGCAGCCAGTCTGGAACAGAACAGTACTGAATATCGAGATACATTTGGTGTAACGAAAACTAAAAAAGGCAAATAGAAATCACAAAAATGACATTAGCTTTAACTGTCCTTTCTGAGAACTAAGAGTCAATATTTCTGCAATTAGTCTATAGGGTCGCATAGTAAGTACCACTATGAAAAAAAATGTCATACAACATACCAAATATTATAGGTACTCTATGCATAGTTTTTCATATGTCTGTACAGCTTACATTGAGTAAATCAATATGCCTTAGCTAAAATTTGTCTTCCAAAGTAGAATGGCTCTCAAGATATTGGCACAGGTCACACATGTCTTGCTCGTCGGAATAACACTGCACAGACCCATTTGGCTTCACAAACACCCCCGAAGATACACTTCGGAATAATTTGTGGCATTTAATGCAACATTCCTCCGTGATTTTCCCCTCTCCGTACCTCGCCTTTAGCATTTGGCTCAATGACACGGATGCCACAACTGAAGGGGCGATTATACCATTTTCTGGTTTGGTTTTGACCCTTCCGCTGAGTTCACGCACCAGAGTTTCCTTGTTAACGTTAAGTGGGGTACTTGAAGGACCGCTGTCAATGACAGTGTRCTGGCTAGCATTATCAATAAACCGGAMATGTAATACCTTCCAGTTCTCGATCTGGCCGACATCGGTAAATGARGGTCCCCTCTCTCCAGCTAAGACATCGCACTCGAGATTTTTCTTGAAATGTGCTTGACAAGCTGCTTTGATGTTTGGCAGATTAACTTCTTTCTCTGG